TCATCTTTTGTCCCTGGGATCATCAGGATGGTGGAAGAGCGGTGCGTAATTACGCATCAGTGCGTTTGGCGCTGAATCGAACCAAAGTGTCGCCTTTAGGTCGAATCTAATGGAACAGCTCTGGACAGGGAACGCAGCTCTGTTCTTTGGGCTCATTTTCTTCTAACTCTCTGACCCTTATACCGGTGCAGTCTTGTATTTTTTCCCCCCTCTCCGTTTTTCTCACGCGCACACCACCGGAGCCCACCGCAGCGCCGCGCGCCCGGACCGAGACACGCCTTTTTCTCGACTCYGTTGTCGGCTCCGTGGGCAGCGGGCTGCCGGTGATTGACCAGCCTCTCTCGCTGTTCTGTCATTCTGCCTTGGCGCCTCCCCTCTCCTCTATAAATGAAGCACATCTKTTCAGCGCGCTCACACTGAGCCTGCTGCAGAGAGAGAAGCCGCGGAGCTTCATCACATGTGTTGACAGACGACAGCTCGTTCATTTCTTCTTCTTCTTCTTCGGCCGTTCGAAAGCATTTTTGCTGTGATTCCTCCGCTGTAGAATTATCTCATACACTTCCTGTTAGTGTAATTGTTTTATTTTTATTTATTTTTCCCTGTTTCGCTGCCTGTCTGAGCCGCTGGTTATCTAAGATGAAGGCTGTTACTCCAGTCCGCCCCCAGGACTCCTCCTCCTCCTCCTCCTCCTCCTCCTCCTCTTCCAGCAGCAGCAGCAGCCAGCTCTCCCTGCACTATCTGTCGAAGCAGAGCCTGAACATCTCCCGGTGCAGGATGGAAGAGGAGGACCTGTTCTGCCTGCAGTACGACATGAACGACTGCTACAGCCGGCTCAAGCGCCTGGTGCCCACCATCCCGCAGGATAAGAAAGTCAGCAAAGTGGAGATCCTCCAGCATGTCATAGACTACATCCTGGACCTGCAGCTGGCTCTGGAGACGCACCCTTCTCTCCAGAAGCAGCAGCCGCAGCAGCAGCGGACCGGGACCTGCCCTCCCACAGCCTCCAACCCCGGCAGGACGCCGCTCACCGTGCTCAACATCGACCACCACCAGGTAAGAGGCACCGCGCGGCAGAGGCTTCCCGCTGCTGCAGCTGGGACTTGGCMGGGGACCCCTGGTTTTACCTCCCTGAGCCGGGGCTGCCGACCCCCGTCAGATGCAGACAAAGCAGCCGTTAGGTGTCATTGTCCTGATGTTGCAGAAAGAAAACAAACCAAACGCTGCACATCTCTGCTTAAAGCACAGAGCAGGGGGGAACTGTAAACAGAAAAAATAAAAATAATAAAAAAAAGACTTGGTTTCAAGATTGCACATTTAATTGCGGGCTTTCTGATTTGCATGATAATGACAGCGTGTCAGAGGCCCACCTTCTCCTTGGATTGGTGAAGTGCCTCAGCCTGCAGTCCACTCCACTGCGCACAATAGGGCCAATTTGTCATTCAATAGGCTTTYAGAGAATTTATTATAGGAGATATGGCAGGTTGGTGCCGCTCTGCTGAGTATCATGGTTTAGCATTTTGCTCTCATCCAGCATTGTTTTTCATGGGTTTTTTTTAAATGTTCTTTTCTCTTCCAGAGGACATCGATAATAAAAAAACCTGAAGACTCAATTTTATGCCGCTGAGACATCAGCACTGCACTGGTAAGCTGACTTCAGATAATATTAACAAAATAATGTGAATG